ACCGGTGCCCTACTCCTTGAGCCACAGGTGCCGCCCTGTTTTTATCTTTTAAAAAAAATATATTTTTTGAGACAGAGTCTCATCCTATCACCCAAACTAGGGTGCTATGGCATCAACCTAGATCACCATAAACTCAAATTCTTGGGTCCAAGCAATCCTCTTGCCTCAGCCTACCAAGTAGCTGGGACTACAGGTGCCTGCCAGGACACCTGGCTAGTTTTTCTATTTTTAGTTGAGATAGGGTCTTGCTCTTTTTTCTTTAATTGAGACAGAGTCTTACTATGTCACCCTTGGTAGAGTCCCATGGCATCACAGCTCACAGCAACCTTAAACTCTTGGGCTTAGGCTCGGTGCCTGTGGCTCAAGTGGCTAAGGCGCCAGCCACATACACCTAAGGTGGCGGGTTTGAATCCAGCCCAGACCCGCCAAAAAACAACAATGACAGCTGCAACAAAAAAATAGCCAGGCATTGTGGCAAGCACCTGTGGTCCCAGCTACTTGGGAGGCTGAGGCAGGAGACTCGCATGAGCACAGGAGTTGGAGGTTGCTGTGAGTTGTGATGCTACAGCACTCTACCCAGGGGGATAGCTTGAGGCTCTGTCTCAAAAAAAAACTCTTGGGCTTAAGTGATTCTCTTGCCTCAGCCTCCCAAGTAGCTGGGACTACAGGTGCCGGCCACACACTTGGCTATGTATTTTTGTTTAGGAGACTTGGGCCAGGTTCAAACCCACCAGCCCCAGAGCATGTGGCTGAGCTTCGAGCGCCCAGCCTTTTATTTTGGAGACAGAGTCTCAAGCTGTTGCCCTGGGTAGAGTGCCATGGCATCATAGCTCACAGTGACCTCCAACTCTTGGTCTCAAGCAATCTTCTTGCCTCTGTTTTTCATTTTCTTTTCTTTTTTTTTTTTTGTTTGTTTGTTTTGAGACAGAGTCTCAAGCTGTTGCCCTGGGTAGAGTGCCAAAAACAGAATTAAAGAGGCACATAATGGAAAAATAATAGGCTTACTTATTAACTATTCATGGTATCATAGCTCACAGCCACCTCCAACCCAGGCTCAAGTGATCTTCTTGCCTCAGTTTTTCTATTCTTAGTAGAGATGAGGTCTCGCTCTTGCTCAGACTGGTCTCGAACCTGTGAGCTCCGAGTGCTAGGATTAAAGGCCTGAGCTACCGTGCCTGGCCTCTTTAAAAATTTTTTTTTTGAGACAGAGTCTCACTATGTCACCCTTTGTAGAGTGCTCTGGCGTCACAGCTCACAGCAACCTCAAATTCTTGGGCTTAAGTGATTCTCTTCTCTCAGCCTCTCAAGTAGCTGGGACTAAGGGCGCCCACCTCAACACCTGGCTATTTTTTTTGTTGCTGTTGTCATTCTTGTTTAGCTGGCCTGGGCCAGGTTTGAACCTTCCAGCCTCTTTGTGGCTGGAGCCATAACCACTGTACTACGGGCACCAAGCCTGCTTCAGTTTTTCTATTTTTGGTAGAGACAGGGTGTCACTTTTGCTCAAGCAAACTCTCAAACTTGTGAGCTCAAGCTATCCACCTGCCTTGGCCTCCCAGAGTGCTAGGATTATAGGCGTGAGCCACTGCACCAGGCCAGGGTCTGGCTCTTTATAAGAGCAAAATAATTATGGTAGTCTCGAACTCCTGAGGTCAAGTGGTCCTTCTGCCTTTGCCTCCCACAGTGCTAGGATTACAGGTGATGAGTCACCATGCATGGTCCCCTAAAATCTATCTGCTTCCTTGTACTTTTTGTAGTTTTTTATTTTATCCATCTGGTCACTTTGTTATTTGGTGCAGATATTTATAACTGTTATTTATTCATTGTGAATTTGGCTTTTAGCATTAAAAGTGTCCTTCTTTAAATTATTTCCAACTTCAGAAGTACTATCTCTGTTCTCTTTTTATTTCCAGTTGCCTGATATATCTTTGCCCATCCTTTTAATTTAATTTTAGCTTCCATGAATCACTTTGTTTTATCTCTTATATATAGCATAGATGGGTCTTGCTTTGTGAGTCAAACTAAAATTCGTTTTATTTTTAAATGGGTGAGTTAAGCCCACTCATATTGATGATTGATAGACTTATCTCTCATTATTTTGTAATTACTGTGTGCACTGTTTTTTGTTGTATTTTCCCTCTACGTGGTCTTTTTGTTTTTAAAAACATTTAAATATTAGAAAACTTTGATTTTACTTTAGTGGTTATCTTTGGGCTTACACCTGTTTAAAATGCTCTTGGTGGCCGGGAATGGTGGCTATGCCTGTAATCCTAGCACTCTGGGAGGCCCAAGTGGGTGGATCACTTGAGCTCAGGAGTTCAAGAGCAACCTAAGGAATAGCAAGACTTTCATCTCTACTAAAAATAGAAAAACTGAGGATGAGGATTGCTTAAGCCCAAGAATTTGATTTTTTTTTTTTTTGAGACAGAGCCTCAAGCTGTTCCCCTGGGTAGAGTGCTGTGACATCATGGCTCACAGCAACCTCCAACTCCTGGGCTCAAGCGAGTCTCCTGCCTCTGCCTCCCAAGTAGCTGGG